TTGGGGGCACGGGCAGAGCTGGGAGCCCCAGTGGTGGAGGAGGCTTGGGGGGGAGGTGCGTGGGGGTCCAGGCAGAAGCCCCCCGTCCGGAGGGGCCAGGCCCAGGGCTCAGGGATGGGCCCTGGCAATGCAGCTGGCACCGAGGCAGAGGGCAGGCATGGGGCTCACCAGGAACTTAGAGTCGGCGTCCCCGGGTAAGCTGGCAAAGGCGATCTGCAGGTCGAGGGGCAGGTGGAAGCTGAGCCGGGGCCGGTGCCCATCCTGGCCCAGCACCACGGCGGGCCGGCAGTCCACGTAGAGCGCCAGGCGGTGTGGTGCCAGGCTGAGTGCCAGCCGGACCCAGCGGCCACCGGCGAAGGGGCTGCCACCAGGGAAGACCAGGGAGGCGGGGTGGCCACTGGGTGCAGCGCGGTAGTCAAAACGCAGCTCATCGCCCCGTGCACTAGAAGCCAGGTGCAGCAGTGGGCTGCGGGCCGTGGGCGAGAGCAGTGCCAGCAGTGTGCCCTGGGAGCGTGGGCTCTGGCGGGCCACGGCGTGGAAGCCCAGGGCACGGGGGGCGCTGGCCAGCACGAACACGGCGTAGGCCCGTGGCAGTGTCAAGTGCGGTGTGCGGCGCCCGAAGCGCCAGGCTGGGGTGCCCGGCGTGGGGCCTGGGGCCGGCGAGACACCAGGGATGGCACGCGACGCAGTCAGTGCCTCCAGCAAGTCGACAGCTGCAAGTGAGCACAGCGCGGGAGTTGGGCACAGGGGCACTCGGCTGTGGGCACACGCATGCAACTCCATGCACATGGGGCAGGCGGGCACAGCCAGCAATGCATGCAGAAACATGCAGTCATATGCAAATATGTGCAAATGAACACAGGTGAGCATGGCAGGCAGGTCAACCATGCACGCAAATCAATACTGTTTATGCAAATTGATGCAAAACAAGCATGCAAGCAGGGTGGGAGGGTCGGCAACGCAGGCAGATACACACAAAGGCATGTAATGGCCTGAGAGTGAGCACGCTAGGCCAGTCAGCAACATATGCAAATACATGCAAATGAACATCAATGTATACAAATGACTGCAGGCATACACAGTAACGTATGCAGATGCATGCCAATGCACGTAAGTTCACAGAAATAAATGTAAGCACGCCCAGCGGTGGGTTGGCAATATATGCAAATATATTCACTTGTATGTAAATGATTGCACGGGACTGCACGTGGGTATGGCTGGCAGGTGGCAGCACATGCCAATCCCTGCAGCCGCAAGCAAAGCATGTAAATATATCCAAATACATGCATGGGCACGCAAATATATGCACAATGCACTTTTATGCAGCTGTTTGCCAAAACATGCAGGTGTGTGCATCTATGCAAATGTTGTAGATCTATGCAAATCTATGCAAATGAGTGTCCCAGAGGTGGGGCACCCCAGAGCGCCCCTGTGGCTCCCTGCAGCAGCACTGTCAGCTCTAGGGCCCAACCCGGCCCCCTGGCATTGGGGAGAGTGGGCACCATGGGCCCAGTGTGGGGGTGGGAGCTCATGGTTGGGTCCTGGGAAGTACCGGGTGCCCCCAGGGTGCTCTGCCCTGCACCCCACTCCCCTCCCCCCACCCGGGGCTGCAGGCCCCCGGCCAGCTGGCAGTGCCTCGCCTTGGCTCCTCTCCTGGGTCCTGCGGCCGTGGGGGCAGAAGGAACAATGCTGCTCTGGCCGGGAGCCATCAGGGCCCCTGAGGGGGAGCAAGGACCAGGGCCAGAGCTGAGAGCCCCATAGGGTCAGCAAAACCCTGTGCCCCCCACCACCCTGCTGGTGCCCCTCACTCCTGACTCGCAGCCCCCTGCTCTGCCAGTGCCCCTCACTCCCAACCTGCAACCCCTACCCCCCCAGCCCCACCAGTGCCCCCCACTCCCTACCCGCAGCCCCCGGACCCACC